GAACAAAGAGCATGTGAATAGGGATTTGAACTCAAAGTAAACTCCAAAGAGAAATGCAGATAAATCCAAATCTAGTGTATAAGAACACACCATTTCATGCATACAAACAAGATGTAGATATTTTCTATTGGAAAGAAAAGCAATACATACTTTACAACAAATAACTACCGCTATTTACACCAATTAGATAACTAGGAACAAATTACCTAACAAGTAACAAACTGCATGAAGTAATTAAACTGACCTCGAACTCATCTTTATAAGGGATTGGGGAGTTGCAGGTTCTATATCATGAGGTCTATCCCCATTTCTATCCTGAATTTAGTTAAAAAATATGAGATTGTCAATAATTTTAATACAAAATTAATATACTTGCATTAGGAATATAAAATTAACAATTAAGTGAGTAACTACCAGATCATTCGTGGCAAGACTGCTGCCATTACTGCTGGAAGAATACGCCCAACCTACAGTAGCGGCCATTCAAATCCGAAGCAGATCAACCTCCAACTCCGAATCGCAGCCAAAAACTAGAATCTTGATAGCTGCCTGCGGAAATGATCCAAGAAAACCTATCAATTACATCGTAAATTTACCTAATTGGACGATTAGCTTAAAGACTTATCAACCGCCTACAAAATCAAAGTAAAATTCTTCCGAATTGTAAACAAAATAATAGATCAAGTACTGGAATCCCAATTCGGGAAATGACTCGGTAGAGAAAAGAGTGGATCATCTATTGTTATCCTAATTGAAAAAAATCATTTCCAAGGTCAAATACAGTCAATCGTGTCAACATAATATACATTCAGTCGAGGAAATTTATTCACAAAAATACAATGATAAGATCCGAGATTACTGTAGAATCAACAAAAGCAAATGAATTCAATGAATGCAGAGAATGTTGAGCAAAATCTGGTGATTAATGAGTTCTAACCACTGTGGGAGATCCAGGGGAATAGATCTACTGTTTTCTCAACGCATTTGATGGGTTTCGTAGCAGACAAGTGAAGAGGACCCGATGGGTCTGTGTGTGTGAGAGAGAGAGAGAGAGAGAGAGAGAGAGATGGGGGAGCTGAAGAGGTAGTGTGACGGTATATCACAGAAAGAGAAAAAGGGGGTGTGGGGTACTACTGACCACCGACAGTTCACATCAACTTGCTGTTAGAGCTTACATGATAATTTCTTTAAAAAATATTAGGAAAATTGAATAATCATTTTTATATTGTTTATGTTAAAAAAAAAAAAAAAAAAAAAAAAATTGACTTATAAAGAGAAATTACTTATTTGTTTGTTTTGTTTACGGGAAATTTTCTAATGTTTTGGAAAAGATTTTAATAAAATTTTAAACTTTTTTAATAAAAAAAAATCTCTATTATTTAACTTTTTAAGTAGGAAACTCAAGAAATCCATTAATTTATTCATTTTATCCTTTTTTTTGTTCCATTGAATAGTTTATGAGAAAAAATCGTTAATTTTTTTAAAATGATGAGATTTTTTTGTATATTTCAACAAAATTTGTATAATGTATAAACATATTTTTTACATATTTGTGTATTTTTTTTTAAATTTATATGTATATGCTTACATATTTTATGTATTTAAAAATATTAACCTATTTTTTTTACGTATTTATATGTATTTTTAAGTATTTTATATACTTTTTATGTGTTATATTTTTATGTATTACGTTTTATATGTATTTTTATGTACTTATGTATTTTTTTTAAAGTTTTTTATATAGATGTTTATATATTTTAAATGTATAAACATATTTCTTACATATTTATATGTCTTTTTAAGTATTTTACTTAATTTTTATGTATTTTTTTATGTATTACGTATTTATATATTTTTTAAGTTTTTTATATAGATGTTTATATATTTTTATGTATTTTAAATGTATAATTGTATTATTTTTACGTATTTATATATTTTTACTTCAAGTTGTCTTTATCATTCCATCCAATTCTCACAGCTTCTTCGAGTATGTGTAGATTATTTTCCTATATACCCATATAATTTAAGTTTTTCTCATTCGATTATCTTCAAATTAAACATCGAATTAAAAAACAAAATAATAATTACGCACATATAAAATCTTTATCAGTCTTATATGGCCTCAAAGGAACTCCAAGATTTCGTATGTGCATAAATAATTATTTTGTTTTTTAATTCGATGTTTAATTTCAAGATAAACAAATAGAAAAAGCTTAAAATATGTGGGTATGTAGGAAAATCATCTAGACATACTCGAAAAAGTTATGAGAATTCGATGAAATAGTGAAGATGACTTGAAGTCAAAAATACATAAATACATAAAAATAATACAGTTACACATTTAAAATATATATATATATATATATATATATATATATATATATATATATATAAAAACTTTAAAAGTACATAAATACGTAAAAAATACATATAAATACGTGATACATAGAAAAACACATAAAACATGTAAAATACATATAAATATGTAATATATATATATATATATATGTGTGTGTGTGTGTGTGTGTGTATATATATATATATATGTGTGTGTGTGTGTGTTTACACATTTTAAATGCATAAACATCTATATAAAATACTTAAAAAATACATAATCAAGTAAAAATACATATAAATACGTAATACATCAAAAAAATAACACTATATATATATATATGTGTGTGTGTGTGTATGTGTGTAAAAAAATACGTTCATAAACTTAAAATACATAAAAATATGTAAACATGTACATATAAAAACTTAAAAAATATATATATACATTAATACATAAATATATGTATGTATGTATGTTTATACATTATATACAAATGAAAAAACATCATAAATGGTCTCTGTGGTTTTTTTAGATCTAAAGTTTAGTTCTTGTGGTTTAAAAACCTCATAGATGGTCCATGTTCTTTCAAAACTTTTGACGATGGGTCCTTATTGCTAACTCCGTTAAGTTTTGTCCGTTAACTGAAGGGTATTTTCGTCATTTCACTACCATAGGGATCATTTATGATGTTTTCTCTTATTTTATTTTTTTATATTAAAAATAATTATTTAATATGTAAAAGGTCCCACCTATCTCTCTCTCTCTCTCTCTCTCTCTCTCTCTCTCTCTCTCTCTCTCTCTCTTCTAGAAATTAAAAAACTCATATTTGCAAATACATCTTAAAAGAGACGCATAAAAGCCAACAATTGCAAATGCATCATACGAAATCTAGTGAAGAAGAAATGGATTAAATACCACCCTACGCTACCCTATCATCCTCTTTTCTCATTCGATATCACCTCCCCCGTTTCTTTTTAAGACTAGATCGATGTGTCTCACTTTCATCATCTTAAATCGAACGTTTCTTAAATTTCTCATTTTAGGTAAATCGATAATATATTCACTTTCTAGATCTGACTTTGATAGGTAGTGGTGTGACAGAGAGAAACATAGGGAGTTAAGGTGGTCTGAAAGGTGTTAATTCTTTGATCATATATGTCATCACCGTAAGAGAGCACCGAAATTTTCAGAAATCATTTGTAGAAATTAAGATGAAATTGTTTTTGCGCATCGACCCAAGATGAACGCGTAGATTGTATACTGAATTTGGGGGCGACAACATGTAGATTGTATACCTCCCGACACCATTCTTCATCTTGGAAGTTAGGATGAAGAAAAACCCAACTTTTATCTCGGTATTGTGAAGATGAAAAAACACAGCTTGTATATGTGTCAATCGGCACCTCCGGTTCTAGATTTGTCCATCGAGTCCAAACCTTTCATATTTAGGGTTCACCGAGTTCAAGCCTTCTTGATTTAGGGTTCATCGAGTTTACCGGTAATTGATGACACAACCCCAAATCTCTTAGGGAAAAAAACTTGGTGTGGGTGTCCCTTCCCCGTTCGTTTTAAACTCTGATTAATGTAATTTTGGGGAAGAAACTAGATATATAGTACCTTAGCTTTATTTAGCTTCTAGATCTTATTTCCAATAACATTTACAGGTGAGAGGAGTTGAAGGAAACAATTCTTGAAGTGTACATGTTCACCTATTGGAGAGAGAGTGTGTGTGTGTGAGAGAGAGAGAGAGAGAGATTATATTTAATAAGAGAAAACATCATAAATGGTCCATGTGGTAGTGAAATGACGAAAATACCCTTCAATTAACGGACAAAACTTAATGTTGTTAGCAATAAGGACCAATCGTCAAAAGTTTTGAAAGCATAGGGACCATTTATGAGGTTTTTAAACCACGATGACTGAATTTCAGATCAGGTGAAACCACAGGGACCATTTATGATGTTTTTTCTATACAAATTTTTACGAAATCTACAAAAAAATCTCATTATTTTGAAATTTTAACAATTTAGTGTCGTGACCTGTTGAACGTGTCAAAAAGGGATAAACTGAATAAATTAGCCGGTTTTTTGGGCTTTTCTATTTAAAAAGTTAAATAGTCGGGACTTTTCTATTCAAAAAAATATAAGACTTTATTAAAAATTTCCCAAAATATTAGGACTTTTCTGGAGATTTTTTTTTGTATATATTTCACCACTTAACTTGTTAAATGTGTTAATATATTAGGGCTAATGGCACAAAAATCCTCAAATTTGCACAAAATTGACGGATTTGCCCAAAGTTCAAATTTAGGTCCATTTTTACCGTAAACTTGCATTTATTGTGCCGTTTTCACCAAGTAGCAGGTTTCCCTTTAATCTGGGTGGAAGGCTAATTAACGTCGTTTGGAAAAATCTCCAATTCCGTTAGATACGTTAAACTGTCGCATCTCATCTCCCTCTATAACCCGATCACTCTTCACCTTTTCCCATTTCATCGACTCTATACACAAAGAAAAAAAGGGTTTTCTTGGAGACGATTAGGTTAAAAGTGTTCTTCAACATTTCTTCGAAATGTAAGGTTTTTACAGGTTGACTAAAATTACGTTTACATTCAACATTTATTGAAATGTGTTCCTAAAGTTAGTGTGTTGATGCAGGAGGGTGTAATGGCTTCATCAGACGAAGGGTACGCTGACCCCTTTGCTGGCATACATGAGCCATTTGCTGGCTTGACTGAAATGGATTTTGAACTCCACAGCATTTACATGGACCATGAACCAGAGGAAGAATTTGTGTCCTCACTTGATAAATGTAAGGATATCTTCCTAAATGTTCTATTAAGTGATGAAAACCTACGAAATTCTAGTATGGCAGATGAAATCAAAGCACAAGTATACCATGCTACTGATTGGCAGAGTGATGAAGATGAACAGGAGGTATTGAAAAACAACTATAGAATTCATGATCCGACCATCAAGTGGGACAAGATGGTACCAAAGCTTGGTGACATCTTTGAATCCCCTGCCCAACTGAAGTTTTGTGTCACCAATTATGCAATCTCACATGGCTATAAAATATACTTTGAAAAAGGTGATAGTAAAAGAATTGTAGCTACATGTGGAAATAGGAAGGAAGAGAATAAATGCCCTTTCAAAATTTATGTTGCATGGATGTACAAAGAAAGATCTTTTCAGATCAAAGCTATGAATGGTGACCATAAATGTTCTAGGCAGTTTAAGTTTGGATCCATTGTGTCCCCTGAATGGATTGGAAGACATTATGTGACTGAAATTGCAAATAAGCCAAAGATGAAACTTCAGGAAATGATTGACGACATCAGACAAAGGTATAGGTGTGTGGTATCTATAGGACAAGTTAGAAGGGCAAGGAAACGGGCCAAAAATTTAATAGAAGGTAAACTCACTGAGCATTATGCAAGGATATGGGATTATGCCCATGAATTGTTAAGGTCAAACCCGGGGTCCACATGTGAAGTTAGTGTAACAACCAATCCAGATGGAAAGAATTATTTTCACAGGTTTTACATTTGTTTCAAAGCACTAAGTGTTAGCTGGAAAAGAGGATGTAGGAGAGTAATTAGGCTAGATGGGTGCTTTCTAAAGGGGCAGGTGAAGGGTGAACTGCTAACAGTCATTGGTAGAGATGCCAACAACCAGGTTTATCCAATTGCTTGGGTTGTTGTTGATGTGGAAAATAAGTCCAATTGGACTTGGTTCCTTGAGCTACTCAGTGGTGATCTAGACCTTATTGATGGAAGGGGGTGGTAGTTATATCAGATCAACATAAAGTAAGTTTCATTATAACATATTAATCCTTTTTCAGATTACTTATAAATACTTACATGTATGCTGGTTTTTGTATAGGGTTTATTGCAATCTACTAAATATATATTGCCACATGTGGAGTACAGGCAATGTGCCCGACACATATATGCAAATTTTAGAAAAGTTTACATTGGGTTGGAGTTCAAGAAGCTGTTTTGGGCTGTAGCTATGAGCTGTGTGGAAGGTGATTTCAAGAGACATATGGACAAAATTAAAAAGCTCAATACTGGTTCATATGAGCATCTGATGTCCAAAGAACCCCAAACATGGTGTAGAGCTTACATGAGTACAGGTATGCATGTGAGGCAGTGGAGAATGGTATATCAGAGTGCTTCAACTCCATCATTGTGGATGCTAGGAAAAAACCATTGATCACAATGCTTGAAGAAATAAGGATATACATCATGGATAGGTTTGCTCACATGATTGAGGAAAGCACTAGATGGAATACCTGTATATGTCCACCAGTGTTAAAGAAGATGAAGCTTTTTGGGAAGAACACGAGGTAACACTTTAACATGTAACTTTTGTTTTAATTTCATTAGGTAACACTTTAACATGTAACTTGTGGATATAGGTTTTGGTTAATAATTCATAGTCAACAACATGTGTTTGAAGCAAGGAGAGGATGTGATAGCTACATGGTGGATTTAGATGGAAGGCATTATACCTGCAGGTTATGGGATTTGGCTGGGATCCCATGTGTTCATGCCATTGCAACCATCAACTATATCCATCAAACACCTGATGAGTATATTGATGACATGTTTTCCAAGGAACAATTCCTTAATTGTTACTCTGCTAACATTAGTCCAGTGAATGGTTCAAATCTATGGCCTCAAACTGAATACATAAAGCCCTTGCCACCAGTGTCAAGGAGAATGCCTGGTAGGCCAAAGGTCAATAGAAGGAGACATGTAATTGAAAATGATGGAAGAGTACACACCCCAAGAACTGTAAGGTGTGGTAAGTGCTTTGAGTATGGCCATAACCAGAAGGGATGCAAGAATGCAACCAGGGAACCTATCCATATGCCACCAAAGAAGAAAGGAAGGCCAAGGAAGGAACAATATGAACCCAATAAAGCAACATGTGATAGGTTTGAGAGGCAGGAACCTGTCCCTATGCCACCAAAGAAGAAAGGAAGGCCTAGGAAGGAACAATTTGAACCCAATCAAGCATCATGTGATAGGTCTGAGAGGCAGGAAGCAGTTTCTATGCCACCAAATAAGAAAGGAAGGCCAAGGAAAAAGGTCCATTCTGACCCAAATCAAGCATCAGTTTCTAAATATGTTAAAAGCAAAAATGATGGTTTAGATGGTCATATTGAAAGTAGGGGATGTGAGGAACAAGTGAAAGATTTGTTTAACAATGAAGATATTGATGATGACAGTCTGGTTGATATGATGTGCACTTTTGAAGCTTCTGTTAGCCAACCAAAGGATAATTATCAGAAAAGTGATGGATTCCAAGATGCAATGGATGTTATTATTCAAAGTATTCTTCATGCTAATGATGAAAAAGGTGTTGAGGAAGTTGAACCTGACCTGACAAAAAAACTTGATGAGTTTGAAGATGCAATGGATGTTATTCTTAAAGGTACAAATGAAAAAAGTCAGTATGAGAATGAGGGTAATCATAAACCTGAATTCACTGAAGGAAATGCAAGTGATGTTCTCCCAGAGATGGTGATGCTAGGTCTAGAAAGTGTAGCAGACCTACTTGGGGCAGAATATAGCATGGCTGAAATAGAGAGCTTGAGAGGGTTTAAAGTTGAATTGGATGATATGCCAGTAGTTGAGATGGTTAGTTTGACTCCATCATTTTATAATTGCTAACATTAGTAACAAACATGTTTATATCTTTTATTAATAAGTATTCTTCAAATTTTTATTAACAGGATGTGAATGAAGTTGAGGATATTCCATATGTTGATGGTGTGATGGAAGGAAATGAAGATGATGGTCTTATAAATGATGGTGTGGAGGAAAATGAGGGTGATGGTGAGGGTGATGATGCTGATGAAGTAGCTGGTGAGGGTGATGGTGATGGTGCTGGTGAGGGTGATGGAGAGGGTGATGGTGCTGGTGAGGATGATGCAGCAGATATGGAGGGAAATGATGTTGATGATGAAGGTCATGTACCACCTAGAAGGACAAGAAAGCCCTCAGAAAGGATCATCCTGCAAAAGCTGAAGAAACCTTGTTTTGACAAAGATGGAAGAGGTTCCACATCTAGCTATCCAGTAGATTTGGAGTAGTTACCTAGGTATATGGGGGAAAAAGTGGGGATGGTATCATTGGGCAATTGTATAGGTAGCCCTTTTTGGTTATTTTTTGATATACACCCACTACTTGCAGCATACATCCATTTGTTTAGTGTTACATTATTGCTTGCCTTTTTTGGATATTGTTTAGGCTTTTGGGTACATGTTTTGGTATACAAAATGGATGGCTGCTACATGCTAGTAAAACTTATGTAATGGATGCTTTATATTAAGGTTTATAATGTATGCCCCCTATTATGGTAACCATGATGTTTTTATTTTATTTTCTAGTACATGTTAAGCATTAGCAATGTACTTTCATTAGTGCAATTCCTTTTATGCAAGTTATTGCAATTCCATTCGTGCAAAGTTTACTTTCGAAAAAATTACAAAAATGGTCCCTGTGGTATGCATTTTTTTTGGGGGTTTTAGTCCAAACCACGATCTTTTTGGATTGATGGTCCTTTTGAGGTGGTTTGCTTGTGATTTTAGTCCCTCGGTAAATTGAAATGACTATAATGCCCTTCTGATTTATTTTTTATGTTTTTTCTATTTAATTTAAATGAAAAAGAAAATAAATATCAAAGTTGGGCCCTATCTCTCTCTCTCTCTCTCTGTCTCTCTCGTCACATATTCTTCATCTTTACACATTTCATATATATAAACACTAAAAATTTAGAAAACGCACACATAATGGACTTGCAACTTAAAGGCATACATATATCACCAAGATACTTCTCTGATTCCGATTCCAAAACCTTACATAATTTACCCTGTTTTGATTTCCCCCAAATCCATATAGACCCATCGATTCCGACAGTTGCAGAAACAACACCATATGCAAATGGAGCAACTTTTACGGTTCTAATGGATTCAGATCTTCATAATCAACGGCAAAAACAACATCAACATTAATTGCAACAGCAGTGGCAGGGGCAACAAACTATGAACTCTAGTTTGATGCGACACAGATCAACACCAAGTTCGTATTTCTCAAATTTGATAAACAGTGACATGCATGAAGACGAAGATGCTGACCCATTCTTCAACCCTCGGGCATAATACCCCGAAACGGAACGCATTTTATTGAGATTCGTCTCCGGGGATGGTGATAATTCAAGCTCTCATCAGAATATAGGTCAAATTCGGGGGAAACGACCCCCCCCCCCCAATTTATGGATCCTATAAAGCAAGAACGAGCGAGATCCATGGATCAATTTGGAACTGATGATGGCAATGTACCAGATTTATCAAAGGGGTTTGAAAATCGAATGGCTTTCTCATCAGTTTCACATTCATCTTTGATACCATTGTCTCTTATCCCTGAAAACGAAGGCAAAACCATGGGAATGAGTGGTGCTTGTGTACACAACAATGGAGGTTTTGGTCAAGCTCATCCAAGAGCTACTAGCTATGGCTTCCCTGGTAGTTCTTACAGAGCTTGCAGAAAGCGATCAAAAAACACGCCCTTCTATGAGAGAGAGAGAGAGATAGAGAGAGAGAGAGAGGAAGAGGAGGTGGGCCCAACTTTATTATTTATTTTCTTTTTCATTTGAATTAAATGGAAAAATGAAGAGAATTGTTATCGAGATTTAAGAAAACAAAGTATGATTTTAGTAATCTAAGAGTTAGAACACGAAGAGTAAATATTAATCAGATCTTATATTGATGAAGACTGATTACAGAATAAGCAGAAAGGATATTTGCTTTAACAAAAAGTTATTCTCTACTTCTAACCTCAGTCCCTCTATATAGGGAACATGAGTGTACATAAACATTACACTTCGCACAAATATGACTTAGTAAAATAACATAAAATGCGAAACAATACAAAACACAAAATTCGACTTTTACAATTTTGCTTCTACAATCTCTCCCTTTGTAAACAGTCAAAGTTATTCAGTTTATAAGCTTTTGAACAGCTGAGTGAATTGTCTTTCGCACTTCTCCATACCAGGAGATCACCTTCTTGAGATCCTTCTTGTCTCCTTCATTGTTCTTCTTGCAATTGTTCATACGAACAATAAAGTGTGTATATTGCGAAGAATTATATCTTTCTATCTCTGAGACTTTAAACAAAAATTCCTTAGGTTTTCCCTTTGTATCTCTTCCTGAAAACACCATACCAAACGGTTTCAGGCATATTTCACCAACAACATATTGCGACAATGCTGATTGGGATAAAGTTTATTCCCAAGGAATTTTCACTTCTCTTCCCAACACATTTGCCAATTCATCATCTGTAAGAGCCAAACAATCGAAGTAATTGTCGATGTATGTCTTAACATGTGCGAAGCCTGTCTTGAATACTTCAGTCTCAGAGCCTTTGAGCTTATTCTCTTCCATATGCTTCAAAATCAGAGCCACTTGAATCAAATCGTTGCAGTTCATCAGAAGAAAATCTGCTACAGTGAAGTCATACTGCTTGTTGTCTGCTCTGATAACAAAATAATGAAAATTTTGAACCATGTCTTCAAACAATACATCTTTCTTGATTGTTAGCACCTTTTTGATCTTCAATAAAGACCAAATTTCATCTGGATTCTTCCCCAAAACAGTATGAAATCTGATTTTCATTTGTGTAAACTCATCAGGATTATCAAACTTATCACTAATCTTGTACTGAGCATTGATGAAGAGCATTTCATTGATTGGAAAATCTAGCTGGCAATTGTCTGAATTCGCAATATCATAACTTTTCTTTGGCTTCTTCTCGAATTCATACATTTCCCTCCCCACAACTTTTGACTCTATAGTTTCGTAAGAGTAAAGCTTCGCTGGATCTCCTTTGTTCATCATGGGAGGATCACTTACTCTTTGTCTCATGATGCTTTGTATCTGCTTCATTCTTTCCATCTCTACTTCGGCCTCAAATTTCTTCTCCTCCTTTGATTTTTCGTATAATATTCCCTTTCCTTTTCCCTCCATATCTATTTGAGATTTTGAACTCGAACCTCCTGCTTTTTCTCCAATAACAATTCCTTTGGCAATAGGTCTTGTGGTTATTATAGTTGAGGAAATTGGCTTCGTAAGCATGGGAATAGTAGTTTTAAGTTGAGTAGATATAACTTTTCCCATTATCTTTGCATCCTCATCTTTACTAAAACTTTTCTCTCCCCCTTGCACCCCTGTGAAAGCAGGTGGGGAACCCCTTGGAAGTAAAGAGGTAAAATTGGCAAGTGGAGCAAGAGCTTTCTGAATTGCTTGTTCTAAAGTATTAATCTTTAGAGACAAGAACTCAGGAGTAAGAATTTGTGTTGATGAAGATTGCGAAACCACCGTTTTAAGCTTTGTCACCAACTGGATCAGCTGATCAAACCTCTCCGTTGTTTGTTTGTTTGTTTTAAGCTCCTCAATCTACTTTTGAACATCAACATTTTGAGTATGAATATCCTGGAGCTCCTTCGCAAGTTCAGTTTTCAACTCTTGAATCTTATAGTTGACATCCTCCCTAACTTTCTTCACATCTTGTAGAAAAAGAACATGACGTTCTTTTGTAACTGTTTTCAAATCCTGGACCATTGAAGAAAAGCTATTCCCTTGAGCTTGAATGCGAAGCTCATTGTTCTTATCAGATTGATCAACTTTCTCCATTATACGTTTCTCAGCACCCTTGATCATTACATCAACTTCCATGGCTGTCTGGCTGAGATAGAAGACATCCTGCTAGAATCAGCTTGCGACTGAATAATAGCATTCAACTTATGATTCAGGATTTTAAATTGTTTTCTTGTCATAAGCATATGATCAGGAATATCCTCCTCCTCTGAATCAAAATTAATATCTTCAAAGACCCCTCCAAAGGCTCCTCCTTCAGCTTCATTATCAGATAAAGGTTGCAAATGTTGAGGATTTTCTAGTGATTGTGATGGAAAAAGTGTTGTAAATGGATTTTGAAGAGGATGATCAAAAATTGATGAGGTAGTGGATAGAATTGTGGATGGAATTGAAACAATTGGTAAAGAAATGGGTAAGGTGATTGGAATTGTGGTTTCAACACTCGAGATAGGTGCCCCCGTATCAGATATGTTGACAACCATATCAGAAATAGGTACCTCCTCAGAAACTAATTTGGTAGTGACTATTTCAAGTGAGTCGGTGAGTGGTATTGTGGTAGAAATTTGTAAAGTTGGGATAATGGGTAATGAAACATTTACCGTAGACGGCACTGGTAGAGTTTCTGGAACTATTTCTTCATCAGATGACTCATTTCGAATCACCAGTTTCCGTCTGTTTGTGAGAGTATGTTGCATGTTTTTCGCAACATGTTCAACTCTTTGCCTTTTCTTTCCTGGAGAAACCGGAGCTAGAATACTGCGAATAGTAACTCCTTTACTGCTCACCTAAGCCTTGCGAATTTTCTTCAATACCCCAGACTTGGAAGGTATTATTTCTTGCTTTGATTTAGATGAGGTTTCTTCAATCTGAACATCTTCATTTTGAGCTTGTTGTGAAGATGAACCTTTCGCATCCTTCTTTGTGGACTTCTTCTTTGACGGAGTAGCAACTTCTAATAATACTCCAGTCTGCACAGATTGATCAATTATTCACAAATATCTCACCAAGACCTTGTGAGTTTGAGATACTTTGCGAAGCATCGCATCTGGAATGCGAGCCACGTGAGTAAAAATAGCCTCATCATCTTCTACGACCTTTGGAAACTAATATAAAGAAAATTCAGCAACTTCGACATCCTCCGTTACTCGAATCTCTTCTTTTTCATAGACTTTCTCCAGAATTAAGCTCCAATATCTTGCACACAAAATCCCTTTTTCAGAATTTGTGTTTTTGAGACTCTGAACAAATTCCTTCCATAACTGAGTTGCATAATCAACATTTATGTCATAGTATATGCCCATAACCATGGCATATACTTCCATTCATCCTCTATCCAGTCCAACTGATCTTCCTGTTAGGCATCTGAGAAAAATTCCAAATAAGAAATTCCATATGCACGGCAACCCCGACTTTCGAAAGTCACTGATCTTCTCAAGCACTGGTTGATGACCCATCTCATTGAACATGTGAATGACTTGAGAGTTAACAGGTTTGAAAAATGGAGGATTGTTTGGAATCTGCAAGAATTCAACAAACATCATCGGAACGGAGAAGGAACTAAACATGGCAGTGGACAGAGGTGATCGTTTCAGAGCAACGATAAGCATCTTCAAGTCTTCAGGATAAGAAGATACTTTTGGATCAACTTGATAATTTGTGCTTTGGATTTTCATCAGAGATTGAGAAAGAACTTCATCAGTGTTGGATTGAGTGGCTGCCATTGTTAGGGTTTGAAAGAGAGGAGGTTTGATCAAGTATGAGACTTTGAAGGTTTGTGAGAGTTCTGTTTGCGTAACCGTATATAGTGTTCTTGATCCCCCTTTTATAGGTTACCCAAATTAATTTGAAATTAAAGCGGTATGCATTTAATGTTATCCGACGTGGCACCTTGAAAATCGGATCATGACGACAAAAGATAACCACGCTTCAAAAAGTAACTGTCACTTCTCCTTGAAAACCGGATAGAATACCAACCATCTTGAGTACACAACCTGTCAAGTTTCCCGTTATTGAATTTGAACCGTTAAAACCCTTCGCATAGAGTCAAGGCTCTTTCACTTTTGGGATATAAAGTGAAGTCATATGCCAGATTTGCGAAATCATCAGTCTGAGTTGGTTTTACTCATAACCTCAAGGATTTCGTGTGTGCATTGTGTCAACAGAATAAGATGAGAAACAATAAAAAAAATTTGGAATTCTGTGATGTCAAAAATTGAATTTGACATAAATGCAGTTAAACCCCAGGCAAAGGTTGCTTCGTTAATCATCAAGAGAGATAATCAATAGCTTGTGTAGTTTCCCGTGAATTACAATCGAATACTTATAGACAAGTATCGAAGGGCTTCTTTTAAAAGACATTTGGGATTGGATTTAAATTTCATTACATATCAGCCTTAACATAAGGTGAGAAATTGTAAATGAAATTACTTGTTTGACCAGTGTAGTCAGTGACAAGTTGGCTTTTGAAAATATTTATCATGACTAGGATTTGCGAATAAAACTCA